CTTGCAGAAGTATTTTGCATGCCAACAAGTCAAGAAAGCTCATTGGCCTATCATCAAATCCTATGTGTATGCTCCATATGATTAGGGCATTAAATGGCTCAGTTATTTCCAGTTAAATGTCAACTGTTTGTATGTGCTCATGTGACTTAATGTGTACGTACATGTACCAATTCAGCAGTGATGTCTCAGAGTAATCCAGGCTTAACGATCACCACCCAGCACCTTTTTTTACATTTTAACCACCATTCCCGATTACGTAATGTCGGTTAAGTTGATGAGTTTCTTGCCCTCGAAACCCAACTTTGCTTCGCAAGTAAGGGACAGTGCCAAGTTGAGGTGGGGGCTTCTGGTGCAGGGGTCTAATAGATCCTTCTGAAGGAATGTCAGGAGGCCATGTGTGCCATTGATGAGGAGACCGATACAGTTTTCGATCCGACTTGACTCCAAGACGGTACTTTGACTTGCGCATGTGTACATAACCAGTGCGAGCATGTGCCTGGCTCCTGAGTCGGACGCACACTGTCTGCCGAAATCACACAAGAAGGAAGTGGCGGCAGTCGAACGGAGATCACGCCTACAAGATTGCTGCAATGAAGATCCTTCATCCTTTCGATCAGCCAGATCCGACATGTGAATAAACCGTGGTGATAGGCACATCGATTCGTCATACAGGCTTACACATAGATACGCATCAAATCGGCAGTAATTGTGTGCATAAAATTGTCTTTTGTGCACACGGCCTCATAGACCAACATGCTTTCGCAAAGTGAATAAACGGTCACTGGAGAAAGTGGTCGCAATTCTGCATTGAATTGGGTTAACATGCTCGTTTTGCGACACCACCAGTCCCATCCACCGGCGCTTGCTTCGCGGCACGTGTGCTATTTTGAGGCATGGTAACACATGGTTGGAAATAAAAATACCCTTGTGCATGAGCCCATCCTATACACATATATGCACACACACAGACACACACACACAAATGTGTCATATAAGCTCGAACATGAGCTGCTCTTCGTAAGCCCCGGGAACCGGCATTGCTACAAATTGTCATCTCTTTGTGGAGGTGTTCTCTATGGTTGATTGTTTGTGTGTGCGTGTTTGTGTGTACTCCTATGCCCACAAATGGTTGTCCATTCACGAAAGATAAAATGCTCAAAATCAAAAGTTTACCATATTCGGGATTATGCACAATTTCTCACAGCCCCACCGTTTACTCACATACAGTTCAGGCTTCTGCCGCATTCCCTGCCCCATATCTCGGCCGCGACCATTGGACTAACCCTCTACAACAAGGCACAACCACACCAGCCGAGTATGTGTGCATTTGAGTCTTAGATGCTAATGTTTGCGAGCCTGTTTGACATGTATCTGCTACCATTAGCATGCGTCTGACAACACTGCGCAAAAGCCTTCATCCCGACGAGGCCAAGACGAAATGCCTTTCGGACATTAAATGATCTACCTCAGATTGGCCAGTTCATTCGGCCAGCCAGACCCCCCCACACACGTACACGTACACACACACACACACACACACACACATACTCTCTCACAGAGACAAATACTAAAATGTAGACACCTGCCTTTTTCAAGCCATTCTGTCCTGTTTGTTCATCTCTCCTCTCTTCAACGTTGCCTCGGCCTTCACCACTCCTCCTCGACTTGACCAGGCCTCTCCCGCACAAATCAAACCCAAATTTTAGCGAACTGTATCCTCATCCCCTTGGCCCCTGCCTCGGCCGGTCTCTTCCCTCGGCTGA